GTCGCCTAGCCGGCCCTGTCGCCTAGCCGGCCCTGTCGCCTAGCCGGCCCTGTCGCCTAGCCGGCCCTGTTTGCCTTGCTGGCCCTGTCCCCTAGCCGGCCTCGTCGCCTAGTCGCCCCCTCCCCCAAGTAGCCCAGCCGGCCCCATCGCCTAGCCGGCCCCGTCGCCTAGCCGGCCCTGTCGCCTAGCCGGCCCCGTCGCCTAGTCGGCCCCCGCCACCCAGCTAGCCCTGTCACCTCGCCGGCCCCGTCACCTCGCCGGCCCCGTCGCCTAGCCGGGCCCCCGTCGCCCAGCCGGCCCCGTCACCTTGCCGGCCTTGTCGCCTAGTCGGCCCCGTCGCCTAGTCGGCCCCGTCGCCTAGCTGGCCCCGTCCCCTCGCCGGCCCTGCCACCTAGCCGGACCTGTCTCCAAGCCGCCTAGCCAACCCCGTCGCCTAGTCGCCCGCAGCCCCGTCTCCTAGCTGCCACGTGGCCCCGTCTTCCAGCTGCCCCTGCGGCTCCCACCTCATCTTATCGGCCACTGCACCGCCCTGCACCGCAATGCACTGCCCTGCACTACACTGCACCGTACTGCACCACACCTCGCCGTACTGCACCTCAGTCTACAGTAGTCTACCTCACTGCATTGCACCGTACCACACACCACTGCTTCCCGCCTCTCTGCCGCTGCATCGACCCTGATGGCGGACTCGGTGTTGCGCTTTGACACGCAGGGTCAGCCGGTCGAGTTCGACACGTGGCTTGTCGACCTCCGCCGTCACCTCACTAGTCAGCGGCAGGACGGCCACTCCCTGGCCGTCCACATCGACGGTACGCTCCCATGCCTTGACCCCCCTGCTGCTCTACCCGATGACACCTCGTCTGCTGACCGTGAGTCCGCTACCATTGCTGCCCTTGCCCGTGCGGTCTGGTTGTCGCGTGACGTTGTTGCACAACTAGCGATCACTCATGCCAGGCGCCCCCGCTTTAGGTCGGTCAGGATTGCGCAGGAGTTCCTAGAGGCTGTTGTCGCGCGCTATTCCACCCCACTCTTTGCCTCAGTCGGTCGTCTGATCCTGCCCATGCTCTTTCCTGATCTCGCGTCTTTTCCCACTACTGCTGACCTAGCCGCCCAGTTGCACACGCTAGACGCGACCTGGCACGCTGCCTGCACTGAGGCCCAGCTTCGTGTGTTTCAGTCACCCATCTATTCTACCCTCTACCTGCTTGTTACCCGCCTCCCTGATCGCCTTGCTACCGCCCACGATCACTTCCTTAGTCTCAACCCTGCTGACCTCACCCTCACTGACTTTGTCGACACCCTATCTGCCATAGAGACACGTCAGTGCTCTATCGCCCAGTCTAGCGGTACTGTGCCGGTCCCTATCTTCCAGGGTTGTGCCCCTGCTTAGTGTTCTTACTCTGAAGGTTCTGCTCCTGTCGCTGAGACAATCCCTGCTGCAAAGACAGTCGCCGCGGCTGCCGCAGCGCAGTTTCCTCCGGGTAAGGGTCGCCGCCCCAAGGCTGGGCGCGGCGGCGGTGGTGGAGGAGGGGGTGGAGGCAGTGGTGGAGCTGGTTCGCCCGCTGGTAGTACTGATGAGGGGGCTGGGGCTGGTGCCTCGGAGCAGCAGCCCCAGCAGTAGCAGCAGGCGCCACAGCTGGACCAGCAGTAGCAGCCGCAGCAGCGGTGGGTCGGCCGTCTCCCGCCCGGGTGGCCTGGCGCCGGTGGTGGAGGTGGTTGCAGTGGTCGTGCACGCAGCTACACTCACACGTGGAGCCAGTGGGGGACTCAGTGCTAGGGTTCACATGCGTGCTGCACCTAGTGAGGCATCAGCCGCCCATGTCCATGGTGATGAGTCCCTGTGTGTGTGAGTGCATTGAGGTTGTGTGCATTGGGGGTGTGTGCGTTGGGGGTGTGTGCATTGAGGTTTTGTGTGTTGGGGGTGTGTGCGCTGGGGGTGTGTACGTTGGGGGTGTGTGCATTGGGGGTGTGTTCGTTGGGGGTGTGTGCATTGAGGGTGTGTGCGTTGGGGGTGTGTGCATTGAGGTTTTGTGCGTGGGGGGTGTGTGCATTGGGGGTGTGTGCGTGGGGGGTGTGTGCATTGGGGGTGTGTGCGTTGGGGGTGTGTGCGTTGGGGGTGTGTGCGTTGGGGGTGTGTGCGTTGGGGGTGTGTGCGTTGGGGGTGTGTGCGTTGGGTGTGTGCGTTGGGGGTTTGTGCGCTGGGGTTGTGTGCGTGAGGGGTGTGTGCGTTGGGGGTGTGTGCGTTTGGGGTGTGTGCGTTGGGGTTGTGTGCGTTGTCCATGGTGGTGAGTCATTGCGTGGTGGTGAGTCATTGCGTGGTGGTGCTGAGTCATTGCGTGTGTGAGTGGGTTGGGGGTGTATGCGGGCGGGAGATGTGGGAAGGGAGAAAGTGTGGGGGGGGAGGGAGAATGGGATTCCTGCCAGCGTGCCCAAGTCGTACCTTTTCCCCCAATTTGATGGGGTGGAGAAGGGGGAGAAGGAGGAGATGTGGTCTATCAAGTTGTCCTGTCGTGCCTTTTTCCTCCGCGCACGTCAACTTGTCCTGTCTCGTTTCTTTAGGCCCCTCAAATTGTGTTCCCCTCAAAAACCAACTTTCTCTCCTCGATGGTACTATGCGCCCATTCCTCCCACCCTATTACTCCCAAGGCGAGATCACAGCACGCAAAGACAAGCTGGTAAGCCTGGCCGTCGCTCCTACGTCCCCCTCCCTGCCCGTTCGTCTACTGAAGCGTCTGCATTCGTGCACACGTGCGCATCTTTCCTAACCCCCTAGCCTCCCTTGGCTCCTATCCTCCCCTCTCCCCTGCCCTCCCTCCGCCCCCCTCCACACCGCATAATTTTTGCTGCCTTCTCCCCACATTCCTTTCAGCCCACTCATCCTCTATTTCCCCTCTGCATATCCTTCGCTATTTCCCCTCCAAAGTCCCCTAGCTCGCTATGCGAGTCCGGATGCGTATTTGCATCGACTGAATGAACTAACACCCGCCAGTCTCCGGCACCCGCTTTTCTCCATCCTGTTCCCCTGTCTCCATCATGTTCCCGATTTCCCACCTGAATGGGTGAGCAACAGGAGCCTGTCTCGCACCAGCCTTTTCCCAGTTGCCCCCCTTTGCGTCCCCGTCTCCCACCTGCCCTACTTCCCCGCCCCACCAGGTGAGCAACAGGAGCCTGTTGCGCATCGGCGCAGAGGTTGCCTAGAATCAACTCAACCCCTTGCACTTCTTCCCCCACTCCTGTCCCCCTTCCCCCACTCCTATCCCCCTATATCCACTCCTGTTCCCCTTCCCTCCCTCCTGTTCTCCTTCCCCCACTCCTGCCCCCCTTTCTTCCTTCCCCCCTCCTGTCCCCCTTACCCCCCTCCTGTCCCCCTTCCCCCCTCCTGTCCTCCCTGCGGGCCCCCACCAGGTGAGCAACAAGAGCCTGTCGCGCATCGGGGCAGACGTCCTTAATCTCCCTGTGGCCATGCTGTGCTCCTCGGACGCCCTGGAGATGCAGGGGAAGCGGGCGGGAGTGGCTGCAGGAGCAGAAAAGGTGGAGGTATGCTGTTGGGTGGAGCAGGAAGGCTTTGTTGTTGTGTATTGGCGCTATGTGGTGTTGCCACTGTGTGAGGTTGCATGCTATACTCCTAGGACGCCCTGGATTTGTGGGGGAAGTGGGCGGGAGTGGCTGCAGGAGAGAATACAATGGAGGAATGCTGTGGGGTGGGGGCTTGTTGTTACTGTGCGATGTTGCCACTATGTGCTGTGGGCCTGTGGCCGTGCTGTGCTCCTCAGATGCCCTGGAGATGCAGGGGAAGAGAGCCGGAGTGTCTGTAGGAGAGAATAAAGTGGAGGTATGCTGTGGGGCGTGGCGTGACTTGTGGTTTGGCTGTGGGATGCTATGCTACGTTACTGTGTAATGTGACTGTGTGGTGTGACTGTGTGATGTGACTGTGTGATGTGACTGTGTAGTGTGACTGTGTGGTGTGACTGTGTGGTGTGATTGTGTGGTGTGACTGTGTGGTGTGACTGTGTGGTGTGACAATGTGATGTGACTGTGTGGTGTGACAATGTGGTGTGACTGTGTGGTGTGACTGTGTGGTGAGACTATGTGATGTGACTGTGTGGTGTGATTGTACAATGTTGTTCCGTGATGGTGGTTAAGGCTACTCTGGTATGGTGTGGTTGTACGGTGCTGTTTTGTAATGGTGGCAGCGTTAAGCGCTTGTCTGTCAGAAAACCATTGGCGGCAGACTGCTAATATGCTGTATGTGTGTCATCCCCGTTTGTACCCCTTAATGGCAGCCTTCTTTAGTGGCCTGCACAGTGGATGCACTTGTTGGGGCAGTTTATGCAGAAAAAGTGAGTGTACCCTCACAGCAAACAGACCTCTGCATTAGCATCAAGGTGACATGTTTAATATGAACCGCACAGTAACACCGAAAGGGACACGTTGCAGTTGTTGATCAACCGCACAGTACTGTGTGCATGTTTAAAGCATGAACCTCCATTTGCCAACCGCTCTTCCCTATTACCCCCCCTCCCCTCCCCCTTAGGGCCTGGATGCAGCATCGGCCTGATAAATTATATAAGTTCTTATATAAGTGTACGCTTGGTAGATGTTACTGAACATTACTATAGAGGGTACAACACCCCTCCTTGTATCCCTCTCTCTTCATTCCTAGTCCTTTTTTCACTCGATATTTTCTCTCCTACCACCCAGATCTAATCTCACGCCATTTCTATGGCTCCTACCATTCCAACCTAGACTAGCTCTTCGATACTGCCTTGGTGAACGGCCTTCTGCCCTCCCTCCTGGACCCCCAACCCGGCTACCGGCTGGAGCAGCGACCTGAGTACCAGCAACAACCCGACCGTCAGCATCAGCATCAGCACCAGCATCAGCATCAGGATCAGCATCAACATCAGCATCAATTCATGTTTCAGCAAGAGAGTATGCAGCATCTGCACCATCAGGAGCATGAGTAGCATGAGCAGCAGAATGAGCATGAGGAAGATCACAGGAATGACCCCGGATTCAGTTTCAACCTCAGCCTCAGCAGTCTCAGCAAAGAAACAGGAACGGAGTCCATTCTGGTGTCGGCATCCTCCACAGAGGAGGATCCCGTGTCTCTTCTGCAACAGCTGTCTCAGCGGCTGGGTCACCTCCCATCATACATGTAAGCTACATATGGTGCCCTTTAAACCTACACAGGGTACCCCTTAAAGCCCATGCTGGTTGGTCGTGCTCATGGTGCAAGAGCTGTCTCGGCGGCTGAGTCACCTCCCCTCATACATGTAGGCTATACCCATGATGCCCTTAGAAGCCACCCATGATGCCCTTTAAAGCCCATGCTGGGTGGCCGTGCTCATGGTATAAGCTACAGCTGTCCTCTCAACGCCTGCGTCAACTCCACAAGTCCATGTTAGCTACACATGATGCCCCTTAAAGCCCATGATGACTGTTCGCTCAAGCCCATGTTGCCCCCTCTGCCATCTTGGCCATGCGCCCTCTCTGTCTCTTACTCTTAGTCACGCATGTTCGGACAATCCCTACACCCCTCTCGAAACAGAGAGACTAAGAGTTGTCGTGGGCACGAGGATAAGCACGGGCATGGAGCGTTCTCCCCCCTCCCCCCAAACCCCTTCCCACCACCCGTTACCATCCCCCATCTTTTCCCTTTGCCTGTCAGCCATGCAGGCACGGACAATCCGCGTACACCACACGAAACACACAGAGTGAGGGTGTACGTGGGCGGCAGGAGGATGGGCACGGGCATGGGGCGCTCTCTTAAAGAGGCGAAGCGAGACGGAGCAGGGAAGGCGCTGCTAGCATGGGGTAAGGTGTTTGGGAGGGGGGGGGGGGGGGGATCGAGGGAGCTGTAGGTGAGAGAAGTTGGGGAGGAAGTAAGGAGAAAGAGGGAGTGCAACAAGAGGCTGGGCACGGGCATGGGGCATTTGCTGGTGGAGGGAAATTAGGATGGAGCAGCGAGGGGCGCTGCTGGCATGGGGAAAGGTGTTTGTGGGGGGGGGGGTTTGGAGGGGGAGGGAAGAGTGAGGGGAGATAGAGGGATATGTGGAGGGAGTATGGCAGCAGCAGCCACTCAGCAGGTTTCTTTGTATGTATGGTATAAGAAAATGGCAGTGAGTGCAACAGACAAAAGCTATGGACAAACATATCAGGAACAACACAGAAATGCCACCAAGAAATACCACAAAACAAAGCTACTACTACCACAAGGAGCCAGGTGGTACCTAGGGCTGGCTGCCGACAGCTACGGGCCAAACCGGGAAAGCAGCAAGTCATTCACGGCTCGGGTTCCGGCCCAATTCGGGTCCACCCAGCCGAAATCAGCTCAGAAATGGCTCGATCTGCTCGGCGGCAGCGGCCGCGGCTCTGAGTCCAAGGTCCAACCCGATGCGAGTCGCTCCGCGGTCGAAGCTGCGGAATTGGCGGAGTCTGGCGACGGGAGTGGTGCTAATTCGGTGTCGTCGGAGCACCTGCGACACATGCTTGTTATTAAATTGCAACCGCCGCCCGCGTGTACAAAGGATCCGGGGAACCGCTTCGGCAGAGCTCGAGTTGTAGAGTTTTCCACCTCTGCCGCAACAATATTCCCATAAATGTAACCTCGGAATCGCGAAAATCCGAGACAAAATAGCGCCTCGAACTCGTTGAAGACCTGTGGAGGAAGGGTAAGTAGGAGACAGATGTGCGGCGACCTTCGCCACTGGCGTCTCCCTCCTTCCTAGCTGCGGCGTAGCTTGTGGGAAAGTCAGACGCCCGTAGTAGGCTAAGTCGCTACTTTTTTCGTTCTGTTGGAATGTGATGTCGAGTGTAGTGTATGTACTGTATGCCATATGCTGTGTCTCTATGTCCTTTTGGTGAAGGGACGGGGAGACCGAACCTCATGTCAGTTAGGCTGTTTGGCACGGTACCGGTTCGGCAGTCAAGAACAAAGCAAATTCTGAAGCTGTGTGTGTTGCGGCTCGGTATGAATAGACGGCAGGCATATCATGGTGTTTTCTCAACCAGGTGGGCAGGATTGTTTTGCGGGCGGAATTGATTGACTGGGGGCTTGATGTGCTCAGTGTGCGCAATGTGGGGAATTCATTCATGATCTCGGGGCAGCAATAGAACACAAAGCTTCAATTCAACACAGCAGTTCCAAGATTCTACGCAGCTGTTATGCGACGCGAGAACCAAACCACCGTGGGTGCGTGCCTTCGCAACGCGCACCCCGCCCCCCCCGACACCCCCCCCCCCCCCCCCCCCCCAACCTTCCGCGTACATTAGGGCATGCTGCCAAGCATCCGAACTCCCAAAAAGTTAGGACGGTTGAAGTGGTACAGAAGTCTGAAAAACGTTTTGGCGTATTTCAGTAACATAAACGCGTGGTACAGTATGGTGAAAGCTTGGACAGAGGCTGTAAGTTGGGACGCTTGGCTACACGACACAACCAACATGATCTCTCCTTTTCCCCCGCCCGTGCCGGCCAAACCCCCTCCATTGCGAGCGGGCGACCCTCCCACAACACACCCACACACACTCGTGCCAATTCTTGAACCATCTGAATCATGTTGGGGGGAGGATAGCTGCATCATGTTGGGGGGAGGACAGCTCCAGTTCATCTGTCTGCATCTGGCAATACAGACATGGAAGACTACACTAGAGGTCTGAAAGAGGACCAGGTTTTTTTCGGCCGGTTAATTCAGTAACGGACGCCTTCAAATAGCTGGCAAATTGGGCCTGACGATAGGACCATGGTTACCCGTTTGGCAGGACCCTTGGAACATGGAAGACATTCGTTGTTTCTCCCGTGTACCCCAGTAACTGTCGCACAATCGCACCCTGGTTCCGAGTCAACCTACAATTGTTCCTTCTGCATGTTCGCCCCCAGCAGTTTCGCAACTGGTTGAGCCGCCCAAAATTGGGCTAGTCCAGGACGGGCCGTTGCCTGTAAATCCGTGCTTGTCGGACTGACGAGTGCATTGCGGTTCACTGGACGTCATGTGTACATGTCCACGGTAACGACGAAGCCCACCATCCCAAACAAACATGCGCTGGATCAAAAATTGCCTCGTTGGATGATCCACCCAAAATGATTGTTCAGATAAGATGGGGCAAGAGTATTTTCCATGTCAGATTCTGCCGAAAGCGCCATATGCTGACAGTGCGCATTTATGATTTTTTTACTGGGACTGATTTGTCGCGATGAAATGTAACGACGAAGTGAGTTTGTGCCGTCCTACGAAGACGGGGAATTGGTGTGATGCAGTGTTACAGAGGTTACCAAATGTAGAAAATTGTTAGGAATTACGATTCCTTATTGGGGCTCGCCATAGCGAGTACAAGCGACCCCTTCGGGTCCGTAGGCTCGGCCCTCAAGTCACGCGCCAAACCAGCCCCCGTCGACCTATTCAGGCCCAACCTCATCCCGAGTCGCCCCGAACCCATTTTGGCCACGTCACCCTCGGGACTATCGAGACCTTGACTGGTCCAGCCCTCGACATTCAACATGTTCAACTCGCACTATATAAGCCCTAGGTCTCATTGTCAAACATATCTTTGTATGTTGTTATAGACTATATAGGGTTGTGCCTTAGAGAGTACAACCCACTAAGTTATATTCCCTTGTATTCTCTCATACTGATCTCTGGATAGGATTAGAAGTACTCTATCTGATAAGGGTACTCGCTTGCTGCCACTTTTTCTGTAAGGATATATATTTAAGCTACTTTGTAATATAAGGGTCCTAAATATTTGTATTTTTTCACATAAGGGTATAACTCAAGCGCAACCTTACACTTTACTGTAGTTACAGGATTTCGCGTGATCAGACGACCGACATGTTGCAGATCTGATGTGACGACGTGCCTTGGGCTTCACTCGACAAAGTGCGCCAAGATTTTGGTTTGTTAGCGTTGAAGTGGAGGGAATGCCGCACCTCGGTAATTTTGCTGTTATCATTTTTGTGGTCACGGGTTAGGGCGTATTTCTACATTAGTGCGTTCAGCACCAGGAAACCAAATTTCACAAACTACCAAATCGAACCAAACAGAAATTCGCGTTTTGACCCTTGGACCTCACTGTTTCGCGTTTCAGACTCCATTTCAGGTTTGCTGGTACTAAACACGGTCTTGTTGAAATACGTCCTCATTCCTAGACCCTTCCTGGTCGCGACCTGAGTTCCCGTTGTGGGTGATTTATGCAGCACTCGTGGTTTCGTCAATGTAGTGAGCTGTAGGGTACTTGAGGGGCAGCCCAGAGAATTGGTTAAACAAGTGCGCTATGCATTGACTACCCAAACTTGAACATTGTTTGGGCTGCCTAAATAATTCATAGTTGCCCGACATGCGAGTTAGGACTGATGCCACCCTGAGTGGTCGTGCCCCTCTCGGTTATTTTTTATTGTTCTTTCATTTCTTATAGTGGCGGATACGACACTACTGACATGAATTATACATTCAGGACGGCAGGTGCAAGGGTACTACAGGAGCTCTGTCTCTGCCAGTGTGGGACTTCACCAACTTTTCGTGGTGGCTCAAGGGCTGTGAGAGGAATGTCTTTGGCAGTGGGGGACTTAGCTGAAATCTTGGGTTGCTGGAGGTATAGGAGGAATGACTCTCGGATTGGGGGGACTTAGCCGAAATCTATAGGTTGTCAAGGGGAGAAATTATTATAGCGGGGGATCGCATGTGTGCTTGTGTAAGGGTGATTTTACACAACACTTTTCCGCATCAGGGTCCCTATACTCGACCACTCTGGAAAAACAGGGTCCCGTATAGATCTAGTTTTTTTCTTTCATAAGGGTAAAAAACAAAACCACTTTCAAAAATAAGGGTCCAACACCTACCCCACCCTTATTATAAGTATCGTAAGGGTATTTTACCCTAATATCATGAGGCATGATTCTGATTATTCGTGAACTTTGATATGGTATCATGAGTAGGTTAGGTCCCCCCCGCCCATGAGCGCTTCCGCCATAGGTCCTAACCGCCCCCTCGTCATCCCACTCTTGTTGGCCCGTCCCCTAGTCGGCCCCGTCACCTAGCAGGCCCCGTCACCTAGTCGGCCCTGTCACCTAGCCGGCCCCATCACCTAGCCGGCCCAGTCGCGTATCTGGCCCCGTCACCTAGCCGGCCCCGTCGCCTAGCCGGCCCCGTCACCTAGCCGGCCCCGTCACCTAGCAGGCCCCGTCACCTCGCTGGCCCCGTCGCCTAGCCGACCCCGTCGCGTAGCCGGCCCCGTCGCGTAGCTGGCCCCGTCACCTAGCCGGCCCCGTCGCCCAGCCGGCCTCGTCGCCTAGCTGGCCCCGTCACCTAGCCGGCCCTGTCACCTCGCTGGCCTCGTCACCTAACCGGCCCCCTCACCTAGCCGGCCCCGTCGCCTAGTCGGCCCCCGCTGCCCAGCCAGCCCCGTCACCTAGCCGGCCCTGTCGCCTAGCCGGCCCTGTCGCCTAGCTGGCCCTGTCGCCTAGCCGGCCCTGTCGCCTTGCTGGCCCTGTCCCCTAGCTGGCCTCGTCGCCTAGTCGCCCCCTCCCCCAAGTAGCCCAGCCGGCCCCCTCGCCTAGCCGGCCCCGTCGCCTAGCCGGCCCTGTCGCCTAGCCGGCCCCGTCGCCTAGTCGGCCCCCGTCGCCCAGCCGGCCCTGTCACCTCGCCGGCCCCATCACCTCGCCGGCCCCGTCGCCTAGCCGGGCCCCCATCGCCCAGCTGGCCCGGTCACCTTGCTGGCCCTGTCGCCTAGTCGGCCCCGTCGCCTAGCTGGTCCCGTCCCCTCGCCGGCCCTCC